AAGTGTCGAACCTCTAGTGACGAAATCGTATAAGTTAGAAGAAACCAAGCCCTTTATGTTTACAAGGCAGTGTTTGTCGGTATCATAACGTTCTTTTTTTGATAGATTTGCCTACCAGTGGTTACCGACCTGACAAACCAATACATCGTAGGTACATTCTTTTCTTTGGGAAGAATATTCAAGTAGGTAGACAATTTACTAGAGGGGCTGGGTAGCCGAGTGGGTTTGAATCCCCACCTCGGAAGTCAATTTTGATTATAGATGTGTTTGTCTATATAGAAATACTACGCACAAGATCGATTGAAGATCAAAACAGGAACATCGGATTGCAGGAGCTCGTTGATTGAATAATTAGTTACCAGTAGATAGAATGTATTGTCTTTTTCACTAGTATCCATTACGATAGAATAACAGCTCAGAATACCACATATCGACAAATGACACATAATTCTGGGCGATCAGTCAACGCTAGGTAGACAGAACCGTATTCGTATTTTGTTTTGAAACAACTCTTTTATTTAGCAAAGTTCATTTGATTACAGAAAATAAAAACGCTACAAGCATGTTTTACTGGATTTACACCCGATTCATTATTGTCAACGTTACAGACTGATACAAATATGCCACCAGTTGATCAGCTGTTCACCCCAATAGAGATCCCAACGTGATTGATACTCGTGATATAGAGTTTAGGGTAGTACAGTGTTGGTACTACGGGGTCGGCAAAAAGCGCCCAACGTGACCTTCGCCTCACCACCACTACTATTACTATTTACTAGCCAATTGGGTGTGCTTTCGTACATCGGAGCAGAAATACTATCTATATTGCGATGTGAATCATTCAGTTATTATTACAATAGATATAAATTAGGTAATACAAAGAAATGGAAGTAAATCTCCATTAACGGTACAGCATTTGAACAATTCTGGATTAACTGTATAGGAAAATACGAAAAATTGTCTTTACGAAACAGTAGCAGTCTCGGAATACCTGATATTAGAAGTAGGAAACACATTGCTTGAACTCTAAATAGGTGTGAGTTGTGAGATCTGAGCAGATCCTTGGATAAAAGCAAATAGCTTGTTAAACATTATACATATGGCAATTCGTGATATTATATGTAGATGCAATAAAAAGACTTAGAAGTTATTTAGTTAATATGTTGTAAATATATTTCTTGGTGCGTGCTGAGGCTCCTTAACAGAATCTCGTGACGCCAAAATGTGAAAGCGTAAAGTACTTTTTATAACGCAATACTAATAGGATGATAACATAGTTTATCGAAAGCGAAAGATTAAAGTTCCTAGAGTTCACCTTGCAATAATTTATCGAAGTTCCTAATTAAAGCTGAGTTTTTCTCTCCTAACAGGCTGCTGATGACAATGACTACGTTCCACGTGTTTTTTTTTTGTTTTTTTTTATACTCCAACTAACGAAGGCCTAAGGCCTAAGACCCATTGGGTACCGTGGGGCTATAGGGGGATACATGGGAAAGGGGGGACGCCACACGGACTCTGGCGCGGGAACACGTGTGCATGCAACATGCACACATTCTGGCTCCGCCTACGAGAACAGCCGGGTGGTACCTCCGCGTTCGACAGTCAAAGACCATCTACCACCTACGGACAATCACAACATCCATAGCCAAGAGAAAAATGTCTCCTGGGACGGGACTCGAACCCGCACAGCGCACGGCGACTGATCAGGAGACCGAAGAGTCTACTACTGCGGCCACCGCTGTGGCCACCGCTGCGGCCACCCTGTATATATACAGGGTTATCCAAATTAAGAGTCCACCATTAGTAACTTTGTTATTAGTGAAAATACAAAGTTGTTTGAATTAGCAAACTAGTAGCATTTTTAACGCTGGTAAAATGAGAAATAAAAAAAACAATTGAGAGTCGTTATTTTGATTTTTTTCAGTAAAATAACATTTTTTTAAATGGAAACCCTGTATATTATATTTTTTTCTGTTAAAGCATCAAATTTTAAACAAAAAAGCTCACAATAACTTTTCTCCTAGGTTACAAATTGTTGAAGTTATGGCCTCCAATCTGAAACAATTAAATTGTATCGACAAACTTATTTTCAACATCAACTTATAATCTTACAAAATACAATAACAATTTTTTTAAAGAAGATGCTCGAAAACACCACCTTGTTCTTCAATACATTTTTGGGCACGTTTTTCAACTGCTCGAACTGTCTTAAGTATGGTCCTACCATCTATCTGGGTTATCTTTTCCCTAACTGCAGTCTTTAACGCGTCAAGGTTATCGTACCTTCGCTTGTAAATTTGGTTCTTTAAGTAACCCCACAAGAAGTAATCAAGTGGGTTTAGATCTGGTGATCTGGGAGGCCACTGTATTGGGCCATTTGTTCCTATCCATGATCATTAAAAGTAGTACTTAGAAAATGATAAGTACCTCTGGAGTTGTGGGCAGGTGCGCCATCTTGCTGAAAATGTAGATGATGTCTACTTATAAGATCCAATTCGTCTAAGAAATTAGTCAGAATTTCTGACATAAATTCCACATATCTTTCACCAGTTAGGGTTCCCTCATAAAAGAACGGGCCAACAATTTTTGAACCAATTATACCGCACCAAACGTTGAAAACTGAAACGGACTTGTGGGCTCTTGGATGTACTAACAAAAGATTTTCTCTTGAC